AGATGAAATCGGATAGAAATGAAATATGGTTTAAGAGTTTTTAAGAGTTTTAAGAGTTTTTAAAAGTTTTAGCCAAATGCTTTATAATATAGTATAGATATATAGTAATAATTAACACAAATAAAGTAAATAATTAAATAACTTCATTTATAAGCTTTTTTACACAATTTTTATATACATAAATACACACACACACGCATATATATATATATATATATATATATATATATGTAATAGTATCAATTTGAATAAATTTTTTGATATAATTGATGATAGTTTTGAAAAACCCGATTAATACAAAGGAGAATTATGTTTTATTCGCTTTGAAAGATCTTTATCAATTAACAAAGACATGATGAAGATTATTGGAACAACAAGGGTTGTGGAGGTAGAGGCATTGTTGTTGGTGGACGATTGTGACTGTAGAGGATGTGAAGATGGTGGATAGGGGTGGTGGTGTCAACAGTGGTGGAGAGGTCCTTGTGTCAGTGTGTGTAACGCCTGAAATTTTTCCCATACTCTCTACTCCGTTCACGCCAGGATTTCCATCTCGTTGGTGAGATATGCGTTTCTTTTGTGAGTGTATGTATTATTTTTAGAAACTTAGAACATTTCTCTTGTTATCAGGTCTTCCTTTAGTAATATATATACATATATATATATATATATGTATATATTCATTGGGAAGATAATGATAGATGTAGTGGGGTAAGAAAGTCAAGAGGGGGTAGCTACAGCCTTTTATCTTATCCTTAGACCTTCTTTACTTGGAAAAAAAAAAAGTTCCTTCTCTTACTTTTGTGTCTTTATCTACTGTTTCATAGATTGGGAAAAGAAAAGGAGAAAAGAAGGGGCAGGGGAGGAAAAACAGCAATAACGGCTATTTGAGGAAGAAGGGGGAAAGATTGTGGCTTCTTCAGGTTAAGAAAGCACTCGGGAGGAGGTTGTAGTCGCCGGTGTGACCTTCTTAGCGCCGGCCAAGTCTGCACAGCGCCTCTGGTCCACTCACGTCTGCACCGTACCCCGACCTCCGTCCGCCTGTTTGTCCAGCCGTTCCCGCACCTTGGATCCATCTGACAGCAGGGCCGCCGTGCCATCTCACGCAACCGTCCATTAGACAGCAAACAGCAGTCTCTGGCTCTCTGCTGTGTTGTTTGTTTCGTTTTCTTGCTCGAGCAGCAGGCGCTGCCCTGTCGTTGCGAACAGCTAACAGCGGACAACAACTCTGATGTGCTGTTTCTTCGCGTTCCTTGCCAGGCCGTGGACGCTGTCGTGTCGTCGTGGTCTGTTAACAGCTGACAGCAAGGTTGCAACTCTGTCATGACGCTTCTTCATCTGCTTCGCCGAACAGCAGCTTGACTGTGTTGTTCTTCGTGTGTTTCGCCCAAAAACAGCCGTCTGTAGTGCTGTTTCATAGCCTGCATCGCCGAACAGCAGCCCTGTCGAGTTGTCCCTTCGCCTCTTTGCCCGAACAACACCTGCTGCTGTGTTTACGCAAAACAGCAGACAGCAAGGTTGTTGTGCATCTTCAAATAGCAATTGCTGCTGTCTTGTTCCTTCGTTCCCTTCACCAAACATCAGACTCTGTTGTGCTGCTCTTCGCCTCTCCTGACCCTCCATTTCCTTCGGCTTCTGTTGTTGCTGTTGCCTCACGAATTAGGAGAGAAATCCTGCTGCTTCTGAGTTCCCTTCCGTCTACCAATTAGTTCAGGACTTAGGATTTCTCCTAAATCCTACAATGTGAGTTCAACCTTTTCCTTTCACGAAAACTTATACTAATTGAAAAGATGTACATTACTTGCTTTATACCTTAGTGTTACGAAATTCCTTGTTTGGTTGAAATGGAGACTTTTAGGTCAAAAAGGAGTGAACTTAGAGACCTTGTTTATAATGAAAAGATGAGGTTGGAGAAAATGGTTTCGATCATTTGGTAAATTACTCATTTCAAAATATCGTTGGCCATAAGACTCAAACACCCTCATGTTCTACATTTGAAGTTCTTTGTTAGCAAAGGGGAACATTTCATGTGATTAAAGAGCTTATGCATAACCTTAGTGAGGAATAAAGGTTTATATGCTTAAGATAACGTAATTAAGCATATCACTGGGATGTAATGAGATTATAGGCTTGGATGTCGTTTTATTTCGTTCGTGAGAACGATGGTGTAAGTTGGAAAAAGAGATTGCGATTATTATGTAATCTCCAAATCACCTTCTCACTTCCACTCGGAAATAGGCATTGTGATTATTATGTAATTTCCGAGATAATGAGCTTAAGATCACGATCGACTACATGACTGGTTTAGGTTGATGTCGATGGTTTAAACCTATAAGTGATGCTCTATAACATTGATCTATGACTTACTTCGTGTTCCGTCATAAATAACGGAAAGCGGGTCTCCCCCGTCATCTTCGGATGTTTTGGCCCCACCACGTTATATTTTGGACTTACCCCACCCCCCCTTAAATTGTTTTAAGTTACGTCAATTATATATATATATATATATATATATATAAAATTGTTTAAAGGCCCTTCTATCAGATGCATTTGTTATACTATTTGAGCTCACTAGGCGTAAGCCTAACACCTCTTCTTGTTTTGGTTTGCTTATCAGGTTCCTTTAGCGGCGGAGTATCAAAGGGGTAAGGAGATTGTTGTTCGTAAGAGTCATTTTTGTAGTTGAAACACTTGGTGTTTCGAGCGTTACAATAATGGTTGATTTCGTATTTTTTTGTTGGAGATGGTAGAAACATCCGTTCTTAATCTAGGCATAGAATTGTTTAGATTATTAGGTTGTTAATTATCGTCTCTTTCGTTGTTTTGTAAACGCTACACTTTTTCCCTTTGTTGGGTGATTTTATTTTGAGATTTAGCTTCCGTCAAGTTCTCGTTTGGGTCTTAGCTTCCTTATAAATATGTGTATATATATATATATTATATATGTTCTTATAATTAGATTTTTTTAGGGTGTTACATTGTGGCTGATATGGTGAAGGTGATGTTGGTTATGATGGATGTAGATGCGGTGATAGTCGATTGTACCGGTGGTGATGGAAATGGATGGTGGTGGTCGATGGCCGACGGTAGTTATGGAGGACGTGAAGATGATAGCTAGTGGTGGTGGTTATGGTCGAGGTTAGTGGACCCATGGTGGTGGTAATGAATGGTGGTGATTCATAGCCGATGGTGGTTGTGGACGTGGTGGAGGAGGTTTGTGTAGTAGAGGAGAATGTGAAGGTGGCCAGCGGTGGTAATGGTGGTGACGGTGGTTGTTGAGGTGGCGATGGATGACGGTGGTTGTTGAGGTTGCGATGGATGACGGTGGTCGGTGGTTGAAGGCGGTTGTTGAGGTGGTGATGGACGACGGTGGTTGATGGTCGAAGGCAGTTGTGAAGGTGGTGATGGACGGAGGTGGTCAGTGGTTGACGGCGGTTATTGAGATGGCGATGGACGGTGGTGGTCGGTGGTCGACGGTGGTTGTAAAGGTGATGGAGGTTGTTGTAGTGCAGGAGGAGGTGGAGGTGGCCAACGACGGTTACAGGTGGTGAAGGTGGTCGTGACTAGCGGTGATGACCGCTAAAACAAATATTATATTAAGGTTATATATCAAACAAGGTTTAATTATTAATATTTTAATTTATATCTCATTCTTTTCCCATCTTGTTCCATCTATTTTGGTGGAACACAAAAAAAACTTTTTTTCCCTCTCAAGCTGTCATATCTTATCTTTGTCACATGTCGCACCAAACATAGAATGACGAGTTCTTGTCATGTCCCTTGTTGCACCAAAAATAGAACAATGAGTTTTATAATGTCCTACATACCAAACAGTAAAATTGATTTCAGATATTTTTCACTTTAAACTTTTCTAGCAATTACACATAGTATTTTTGGATTAACAAAATATAGAAAACCAATTTTCAAAAATTCAATAAATAATTTACGATTCAAAAAAGTTTTGATTTTTGTTTTTGGACTTCTTCTCACAAAGAAAACAAGTAAACAAGGTTTTGAATTTAAGGGAATCAACCTTTGACTTTTTGGCACTTTGCTTGTCAAAGAACACGGTTTGTTTGACCAAACTAACGTCACAATTTGAATATATATATATAGACAGACTTGGGATCATGTGAGACCAGCCTGTTTTTGTGAGACCCGTGAGACCAATATTTTACACTTGAAACTTCACAACAAAATGTTGTGAAGGTGACTTTTTAAAACCTTCACAGTGTTTTTACTGTGAAGGTTCGACTTTTTTTAAACCTTCACAGTGTTTTTGCTGTGAAGTTTACATGTAAAAATGTGGTCTCACGGGTCTCATGAAAACAGGTTGGTCTCACGTGAACCCAACCCTATATATATATATATATATATATATATATATATACATATATATATATATATATAATCAATAAAAAAATTAATTTTTAAAAGTTTGAATTTTAATGATGCCTAGTGAACAATGATGAAAGGGGCATTTTGGGAAGAAAAAAAATATACTTATCAAGGGTATTCTAGTAAATTGAATTCATTTGTAACCCAAACAATTAATGGGGAGTTACAAACAATCAAATCCCAAAAAATATGCATTCATATTATTATTATTATTATTATCATTTTTACTATTGATCTTCCATGTTCATTCTTGTATGAATTCCTAAATCGCATAATAAATACGGTAGTAACAATTTTCGGTATTGATCAATTTCAACACAAATGAACTGTGAACACAATTTAAACAAAAATGAATAACCGTGAACACAATTTGAACACAAATGAACCGTGAACATGATATGAATACAAATGAACACGATATGTGCAATTTTTKRCCCATATATTCACATACATAGACGTCCCACAAAATTAAGATAGCATCTGTTAATTTGTGTTCATCTGTTAAATTGTTCAAATTGTGTTCACGGTTCATTTGTGTTCAATTGTGTTCACGGTTGTTCATTTGTGTTCAAATTATGTTCACGGTTCATTTGTGTTCAAATTGATCAATACCGAAAATCGTTACTACCTTGTTTCTTATGCGATTTAGAAATTCATACAAGAATGAACATGAAAGATCAATAGTAAAAAAAAATTAATAATATGAATGCATATTTTTTGGGATTTGATTGTTTGTAACTCCCCATTAATTGTTTGGGGGTTACAAATGAATCCAATTTACTACAATACCCTTGTAAGGGTAAAATGAACAAGACATAAACCTATAAGAATAATGAAATTTGATTGGTTAAGAGGGTTTTCAAAGTTAACACAAAAATGATGGTTAACATTTGATCTTCCCCCCCTCTCTCTCTCTCTCTCTCTATATATATATATATTATATATAATAAAAACAACTAAAAAACCAATCACTCAAGATGAGTTTTGTATGTAACAAATAGACATTTATTAGAACATTTGCATTTTTGGTATATGAGAGTTGCATATTTAATTAAGATGGAGCAACGTTTTTTACATCTTTACAAATCCTCATCACCAAAAAACATATCGAAAAATTGGTGCATCTGTATCTCTACCTATTTTCACGTAAACGAATCCCCATTTATTTGTGGATTTCTATGTTTTTTGGTGTGTATCGATTACAAGCACGATCTCCATATCCTTCCTTCGAGCGAAATCACAATGACCGAAACATCATCATGGTAACGCCTTCGATCCCCTTGTGGTATTTCTAACAACTCGTGAAAATCAATACCTGTAAACAACAAAATCTTAGATACGTAAGCGTTTGAAAACGATCACGATCAAAAAGCACTACAATTTGTCGACACGCGTTAATTTTGCAAGATGTAATGTTTTTCTTTTCTTATTTACATTTTTGCAAGAATGATGGTTTGTTTATAACGGAAAGATAAAGGCGTAAAGCTGAAGCTTTTCCTCAAAACTCAGATTATTACCTGCTTTCTTGGCTGCACGTAACAAGACTTCTTCGACTAAATGCTGAGCAGGATCACCTTCGGGCGACCATTGAATGAAAAGCTCGACTTCAGAAACAGCCTCCTCGTTGGTGAAGTATTGATAAAGCCCGTCTGAGGATAATATCAAGAATCGGTCCCTCGTCCCCAATTTGTGATGGCGTAGGTACGGCAGACAGTTTATGTACGGAGAAGTTCCAACATAATCTATCCTAAACATCTCTAGTAACGCATTGTTCCATTTGGGCTGCACCAATCAACGAAACAGAAGATTTTAGTACGGAGCATTAAAGTTGATTTCTGATAACGATCTTTTTCTTAACAAAACCCCATCATGTGCTTTACGAAACTCGAGCATAAAACCACAATAGACCAACAATGTGAATCAAAAAAGTAACGCAACAGTCTTTTACGAGCTTTATATACCATTTCGGCCGAATCTATAACTCATAAAAGAGGAATCCTTATCTATAAAGCATAATATAACGACTATATAGCTATTACTGGATTCCAAACTTGAACCATTTATCCTTAATATATATGTTGCAACATCCCTTTTCTTCTCAAGGACATGGAGTTCCACATGGTACCGGAGCCAACGTTTAATACGGTAGGGACTCGGCATTCTGGGATAATCTGTGCCCTGTTGGAGACCCAGATCGGCTAGACTTAGACCATTTCTCATCGAGGGCTCTTCTTGAGAGTAATCTAATGGGGTTCCAGATATTCTTAAAGCTACAAACATGTTTAGTTTATGTTGTCATCAACTTTCAAATGATCATACTAACGTTCGATCATTTGTTTGCAATGATAAGTCAAGTGCCGTCATCTTAAAAGTGAACCACTCTCGGATTAAGTCTTGTACTTGTGCACAAAAGTATAGATGTCAATGCGGTGTCCGACAACTCCAGAAATAGAAAGCCAACTTGCTTTCTTCCAATCTAAAAGAGTTATGAAAGTATCATTCCCTAAAGAAGATCCAATCTCCCATCGATTCCAACACAAATGAGAATCTACTTTAATCCAAACACCAACAAGAATAAATCCCAATTTGCTTTTAGAAAGAATGGATCAAATTGAACAGATGTTTCTTGTTTACCTGCTTAAGAAAACCAGCACCGAAAGCTCGAGTGACCTTTAGTGAGCCTTTAACACGGTCATTCATCACTGCCCATGCATCATCTGGGTGTTCATTCTTTATTCTTTCAACTTCCTGCGAAAAGTTGATGAATTTTAGAGTATGAAAACTAGAATTGTGAGGTTAAAAGACCTGGAATTGAAGTTATGTTGTTTGGTTTTACCTCATCAATGGAGGTACTATGATCCATGCTAAGCTGGCAAGCAGTTAAACTTGGGTTTGTGGTGGCAATATCAGCATCAAAAACTTCGAGATCATACCATGTTTCTTCGTTAATCTTTTCTAGATCTTGTCTCCATAGGTCAGGCTCGGATTTCTGACCTAGAACAGCGCGGCTATCTCCCACATTCATCACGTAAACATCTTCTCCTTTCATTAACATAACAAGAACACAAGAGCCCATTAAAGCTAGTTCAGGATTTTCAACAAGCATCTGGTCTGCAATATCTAAATAAGACTCCTCTGTTTTCTTCAGTCCTTGAGACAGAGCTTTCAAAACATCCGAATGATTTATGGAATTCGACCCATTTGGATTCATTTGTTCTCTTAATCTTCGATCAAGTTCTAATCTCTCCCGGTCGAATTCACACTTCCACCTCCTCTGATTCTCCTCCCATTTCTTTGCCGCCCCTCGATTTCTAATCCTGCTCCTCTTGTTCCGTGAATTTGTCTCGAGATCCTCAGTTGCACATGGGTAACTCTCCTGCTGATGAACACAACTTGGTAACCCATTTTTTGAAGGTTGATCATCCAAATGAGATTCGACAACATCTGAAGATTTCACCAAAGAAGTCGAATTTGATGAATCAATCTGATCATCCCATAACAATCCTTTGAGTTCCTTATGAACAGCTGCATACATATTCGACCATAGATAATCGGGCGCATCAGGACCATTAAATCCATCATAAATCCCAACAAAAACCCACCCATGTTCCTCCGAGACGACAACGTGTACCCGATCTTCTCCAGCTTTGCCCTGAGCCCATTGAAGGTTCTGGTTCTGATTCATACACTCATCATCATCAAAAAAACTACCTTCGCTGCTCAAATTAACACTGCTAATCGTCAATTCATTGTTTTTCTCCGAAGACCCGACAATCCAATTGTGATCTTTCAAATGACCCACGTTCTTAGTGATCGGGGCAACAGTCGAGTTTTGGCCACGGGTTGTAAACGTCCTCGAAATCGCCCTTTGGATAACCCGAATCAAATGACGTTTTCTCGATCTGCGTTTGAAAGCAAAACCCCCATGGGAGTAGCTCCGTTGAAACTGATCGTGATTACCCTTCTCGAGGGGACCCGAAAAAAGAGGACCCGATTGAAATCCCCGCTCAATCGGGCCAGAAAGGAAGCCTCGTTCAATAGGACCCGAATACGGACCCGACGGCAAAGGACCCGAATTGATTGAGTTTCTAGGCAAAGGTTGTAGAGGAATCGATGCAAAAGATGTAGAGCTCTCAAAGGCAGAGGCCTTATCGATGGTGTTGTAAGAGTAAACATCGAGGAAAGATGTCGACAGAGGCGTGGAAGTGTTGGCGGAGACAGAGGCGCCGGAGATTGACCGGAAAGTGGTGGTTTCTTCAGCCGAATGAACCTTGGAGGACGAGATGCGAGATTGAGCAGGCCTAACATAGCAGAAGGAGTGACCCAGATCATCCAGTGGGTCAGAGATATAAACGGCCACGTCTTTCCGGCGGTGGACGATGTCGGTTCCGGTGAAACATAGGGTCAGCTTGCCGACCCCGTTTCCCATGACTGGATTCCGGGTGAAGAAAAGGCGGAGAGGATGAAGGTAAGGTACTTATAGAGGAAGAAGAAGTACTAATTGGATGGAAGTAACTTTGTGATCTCCATGGAAGTAGAATAAGATATGAGTTTAGTTGGAAGAGAAGAATTCTGTGTTAAAGGAAGAGAGAAAGAGAGAGGGTTGACTTTAGGGCGGATGTTTTTAAAACCAAAAGACAGAATTCAACAATTACAAAAATATATAAATACAAAATTCGTATTTTATTATTTAATTAAATCTAAAGTTGTCATGGTATACTTTGTTTAATAAATAAAACATTTGAATATTAATAAATACATAAATATTGGAAAAAATAATCTTATTTCAGATTATTAATTGGTTAAACGTTTTAATCTTGAATTTAACTTACATAATAATTACAAAAAATGATATAAATTGGTACGTGTATGTGTGAACAAATCAATCAAACTATGTAATGAATAAATACAAAATTGTTGATGTCGGCAAACTAGAAAATAATGAAAGTTTCATCATTAACATGGTTTCTTAAATAATTAATGGCGAAATTATTTAATTTTGTACAAGATTTCAACCGTATGCAAAACCCTAAGTATCCGAAATCCAAACCAGAACCTGAACCTGAACCGAAATTAAAGTATTTATGTAAAACCCGAATTGAAATCTGAAAACCAACTTTTTGGAGAAAATTTGGGTTCGGGTTGGATTTGATTTTTGGCTATCCGATCTATCTGAAAACTCGAAATATATACTTATTTATCTAATTATCTTTTGAAAATTCTAAAAATCTTGGTCGGTCGTGTTTTTTTTTCCTAATTTCTGAGCATACTATCGATTTATCAATCCTCTAAACCGATTGAATTCATCGTCAAAATCGATTGGATATATAATTTTTTTGCATTATAACTAAATTCGAACCCAACCCGAAACCCGACCGACCTCAACCCGACCAACCCGAACCCGAAGCAATCTGAAAATCCAAAAAATGGGGCTTAATTTCCATATCCAAAATCCGACCGGGTTTTTTATTTTCCCACCCGAACCCGTCGGATCCGCCCATACACGCCCCTACTTACTATGTTGTGTACTTGTGTTAATGTTTGATTCAATGCATATATTACTATTCTTAATTTCAACTTCTTAAGTGTCCATGTTATTATTTTAAAATAATGGTTAATTTTTAAAAATAAATGGTTACTTTTTTTATTCTACCCTTAATTATAAGTTAAAAAAGGGAAAAGTTTAAAAAAAACGTAATGGACTTTAGTGTTTGGAATGATTAAGTTTTTAGACAATTTTTTGGAACAAATAAGTCTTTGGACATTCTAAAATCTGTTAAATAATTTCTTGGACTTTCTAAATTCTGTTAGATACATTCTTATGACCTATAAAGTTTGTTAATATTGTAAAATAATGAAAAAAATATGAAAAAACAATCGACTTTCATATTTTGAACGATTAAGTTTCTAAACATTTTTTGAACCAAAAAAGTACTTATATCTATAAAATGAAAAAATATACCAAAAAGTATTTATATTTACTAAAAAATATTTACATTTAAAAAAGATTATTGATGAAATTTATTTAATTAAAAATAAAAAATATTTTATCAGTGATTTTTCAAATAAAAACAGATTTTAAAAAATTATTGATTAATTTATTTTAATTAAAAATAAAATATATTTCGTATATGATTTTTAAAATAAAAATATTAAAATAAAAAAGATTTAAAATTGATTGTTGATGGAATTTATTTTAATTAAAAATAAAATATATTTTATTGGTGATTTTTTAAATTAAAAAATTGAATATAAATTGATTAAATTACTGACTAATTAACGATAAAATTTAACTAAATATATAATTAATTAAAATTTATCGTTAGTGTTTCATTGGTATATATGCATCGATTACTAAGATCTAATTGATAACTAACTTGCCAATCGTCAGACGCTATAACATGTTAAATAAGTGTCAAAAGTCGTGTTTGAATCTTGTCGATGATATCATTTCACCGATGGATTAGCGACGACTTTTTTTTAATTATGTATTTAGTTAAGTTTTATCGTTAACCCCGTCAGTAAATTTAATTATATTATTTTTTATTTTTTTATTTGAAAAATCATCAATAAATATATTTTATTTTTAATTAAAATAAATTTCATTAGTAATCATTTTTAATTTTTTTTAATTTGAAAAATCACTGACAGAAAATATTTTATTTTTAATTAAAATAAATTTAATCAATAAACTTTTCTTAAATGTAAGTATTTTTTTGGTATATTTGTTTCATTTTATAGATGTTAGTATTTATTTTTATTTTTTAAAAATATTTGGTATAAAAGTTTATTGGTTTTTTTCCCCAGACTTTTCCATTATTTTACCACATTAATCAGTTATATATGTCATAAAAATGTATTTAACAGGTTTTGTAATATCCAATGAGTTATTTAATAAGTTTTGTAATATCCAGGAACTTATTTGTTCCAAAAAATTGTTCAAGCACTTAATCATTTCAAACACTAATGTGTATTGAGTTTTTTTAGAATTTTCCCTTAAAAAATTTCTTTTATATAATTAAAGGTAAAATTATTTTTTTATTCATTAAAATATAAAATACTTATAGATTTATAAAATTATATGTTTTTTTTATTGTGAACTATTTATTATTGGATTTAGATGAAAGGATTTTTATTAATCGTAATTAAACATCGTCTACCAGGTAAAAATTATCATTGTAAATTATAACGACATATAATAGATTTTTAATAAAATAAATTATATATAAACACCGAATTTCATTTATTTTATTTTTTAAAATAAGATGGTGTTTTGTTACAAACGTTGACTTGAAAGAGAAAGCCAGAAAGGTGGGGGTTTTGACTTTATGTTTAAATTAAAGCAGAAAAAGATTAAGCTCAGCGGCATATCCACGCGCCATCAGGGAGTGTGTGCGGCAATTTTCTTTTCTTTGGATTCCTTCAACTATTATCTATTTGCATTTAACCCCCTTTTCTTTTATTCTTTTGTCATTTAAAGACAAGTACTTTACTTATTTTGTAAAAGAATATTGATAACTAAAATGATCCATAAATAAAGATGGAAAAACCGAGTCTTTGAAGTTGTTTTTTAAAATAACAGTAGATAAACACACACACACACACACACATATATATATATATATATATATAAAAGGTTGGGTTCGCATGAGACCAGGATTCCGGTCACCCGGCACAGCATGTTGGTTTTTCGTGAGACCCGTAAAATCAATTTATGTTCATTGATCAATTTTATAAGTTAATTATCTAATGGTCAAAAGTTACACGGTGACAATTTTATGATTATTGAGAAGTCGCATAGCGTTTATGAATGTTAAGATTATCATATTGTAGATCTAATTCAAGGGTTGAGAATTGATCTTACGGGTCTCACAAAAAACATTTGATCTCACATGATCCCAAGTCTCTCTCTCTCTCTCTCTCTCTCTCTCTTTATATATATATATATATATATATATATAT